CCCGGGCATGTGCCCTGACCGGGAATCTAACCCTGATCGCCTGGATCCTAGGTCGGCGCTCAACCGCTGAGCCACGCCTGGCCGGGCGTGTAATACTTTCAACAATAAAGATAAATTAAAAAAAAATAAAGTGAAGTATAGGCATCTCTGCTGATTGTTCACAGGCTCTGGGGATTTGTGGCAGCAGTGTAGGGCATGCTACCCTTAAGGGACCTGAGACTTAAGGAGACAAGGCTCACACTACATGATTGGGTGATACGATGGGCAAAATCAGTTGGATAAATTAATGTGCTGGGAGAGTTAGAAGATGAACATGGGATAGAGTAAGCTAATGAGGTTTTGAAATCCTTCTGGCTAAGGTAGCATTCAAACGTATACTCTAGTATCATTTTGAGCTATTTGGAGGATGAGCTGATCTCATCACCATCATGTTATGTCATCTTTTAGGACTGGTAATTTTTCAGTGACTACAGGCATACCTCGCTTTATTGTGCTCCACAGATACTGCGCTTTCATCAACATTGAGGAAGAACCCTCCACCAGTAAAGAGATTACAACTTGCCGAAGGCTCAGATAATAGTCAGCATTTTTCAGCAATAAAGTATTTTTAAATTCAGGTATGTACATTGTTTTTTTAAAGCATAATGCTATTACACACTTAATAGATGACAGTATGATATAAATATAAGTTTATATGCACTGGGAAACCAAAAAATGTGTGTGACTCCCTTTATTGTGATATTTATGTCATTGAGGTGGTCTGGAATCCAACCACAATATTTCCGAGTGCGTGTAGTATCAATGAAATCGTTTGTGTTGTCCACGAATTCTGGATTGGAAGCTGTCAAGCCTGGGGACTGGCAGCGACCCACTAATGGCATGGGAGGATGTAAGGGTGCTTGGGACTGTGGGAGTGTGAGGCATTGCTGTATCCAGCGGTGAGCGCGTCGGAAGACGGCTTCCTGGGGGAGGTGTTTCTGTGACTAATGGCAACTAAATGTGGTCTTTGGACACTAGATTATGGAGGGCCATGAGAGCTAATCAAGGGCTTCATTTGGGTCTAGTGGAACATGCCCTGTATTAACTCAAGTTACTAAGGTTATCAAGAATCACCAGCATTGCTGCATAAGTGCCTGACACTAATAATAAAGGTTAATATTTGTTGAGTAGTATGAGATGTCATTTACCCTCGCCAGTATTAGGAAAGTACTGTTGTCCCTATTTTATGTGTCCAGGACATAGGGAGATAAAATAATTTGCTCAAGGTTTTAAAGATAGAATATGCAATTTCATATGGAGAGTGATAGAGACTTCGTTGAGGCTGGAGCTGGGGTAAGAGTGAGGGTGCTCCTTTCTGAAGAGCTGACATTTGAGATAAATACTAAAGGATGAAAAGGGACAAGTGACAGGAGCATTTACAGCTGGGCATAGCAGTCATGTAGGCCCTGAGGTCAGAAAGAATTTGGTGTTTGTCTAGTGTGGTTCCAGCACAGTGAGCAAGGGGGAAGTAGTGTGAGGTTAACAAAGAGATAAGGGTGGAAGTCAGATCATGCAGGGCCTTGTGGATTGTAGTAAAGTTGTCATTTTATCTAAGTGCAGTGGGAAACTGTTGAAATGTTTTTAAACAGGAGTGATGTGATAGGACTTTCTGTGTGTGTGTATATGGTAAAAAATACATAGCATAAAATGTACCATGGTAACCGTTTTTTTTTGTTAATCCTCACCCGAGGATATTTTTCCATTGATTTTTAGAGAGAGGGGAAGGGAAGGAGAGAGGAGAAAGGGAGAGAGGAGTGGGGAGGGAGAGAGGGAGAGGAACAGCAATGTGAGAGAGATGCATAGATTGGTTGCCTCCAGCATGTACCCCGACTGGGGCTGGGGGAGTGAACCTGCAACCCAGGTACATGCGCTTGTGCCCTTGACTGGGAATTGAACCCATGTCCCTTTGGTCTGAGGGCTGACACTCTAATTGCTGAGCCATACTGGCTAGGGCCCGTGGTAACCATTTTTTAAAAAATTAAAAAAAATTTTTTAATTAAAAATTTTTGTTTAAAATATTACAGATGTCCCTTTTTCTCCCCAGTGACCCATCCCACACTGTCCTGTCCCCCATGGTAACCATTGTTAAGTGTACAGTTCAGTGACATTAAGAGAGAGAGAAAGAGAGGGAGGGAGGGCAGGCACATGCTCTGGGTCCCTTGCCTTACAGGTTTTTATTTCATTTTTTATTTTTATTTTTTAATTGAATTTATTGGGGTGACACTAGTTAACAAAATTATACAGGTTTCAAGTGCACAATTCCATAACATATCGTCTGTACATTGTATTATGTGTTCATTACCCCAAGTCAAGTCTCTCTTCATCGCCATTTATCCCCTCTATACCTGCCTCTACCTCCTCCCCACCCCTCAGCAATCCCTACACTGTTTTCTGTGTCCATGAGCTTTTTCTCTCTCTTTTTTCTTTATTTTAAATTTTTAAAAATTTTGTAATATATTTTTATTGATTTCAGAGAGCGGAAGGGAGAAGATGAGAGAGAGAGAAACATCAATGATGAGTCATTGATCGGCTACCTCCTGCACGCTCCCTGCTGGGGATTGAGCCCGAAACCGGAGCATGTGCCCTGACTGGGAATCAAACCTCGATCTCTTGGAGCACAGGTTGATACTCAACCACTGAGCCACACTGGCCGGGCTCTCTCTTTTTTTCTCAATACCTCCACCCCGACCGGCCCCTTGAACCCCCTCCCCTCCCCCACAGCTGTCAGCCTGCTCTCTGTCTGTGGGTCTGTCTCTGTTCTGCTTGATAGTTCATTTTGTTCATTAGATTTCACATATGAGTGATATCATATAGTACTTGTCTTTCTCTGACTGACTTATTTCACTTAGCATAATGCTTAAAGGCAGAAATTTCAGGGGAGGTCTTAGGGGAGAATCTCAATAGAATATTCATCAGCTTTCCTGGTGTATCCTTTCAGGGTCATGGTTTCCACTGATTGGTTGGTGCCAGAGCAGGGGGTCATTAGTCATCACAGCTGGTCTTGATGTCAGCCATGGTGTGTTGGTATAGATTCTTCCCTGTCTCCTGTGATAAGAATGTTCTTACCTTTCTCAAAGGAAATTAAGGTCTTATTTTTAGGTAGAAAGGGGAAAGGCAGGGAGCCCTTCCTGCATCTGTTGTTTCTCAGTTATCCTCAGCTCAAAATAATCCTATTCCAAAGTGACATATTTTGGGGTGGCATAATCTGATACCCTTCATTCTAATGAATGTGAAGTGGTGTTTCACTGTGGATTTAATTGGTATTTCCTTAATGATTAATGGTTTGAGCATCTTTTCATGTGCTTATTGGTCATTTGCATATCTCCTTTGGAGAAATGTTCAAATTGTGACTATTCAGATCATGACTTTTGTTTTTAAAAGAACATTTTAGCTGTAGGGAGGACAGTGGCTTGGAGTGGAGTTGGAGAGAAATCTGGGAAACCACTTAAGAAGCAGCTGCAGGAATCCTTGTGGGGATGATGGTACTTGGACTGCACTCTTGTTACTCTTCCTCAGGTCTAGTATTCTACAGATACTTCATTTTAAGTGTCTCTTCTACATAATTCTACTTTTGGGCTATATGGACTGTAATTCCTTTTGTAATTTCTGCAGTTGGGTGAGAACTTTCCCCAGGGAATTCTAAAAATATTCAGGAATCTATCTTAGGTCAAAATTAGTAATAATGATGATGGTTTAATAATAAAAATGATTTCATTTTTGCCTTTAAAAACTCTCCTCTTGTTACTTGCAACAGATTTGAAGTTTTTTTTTTTTTATGTGATTAGTAGGCAATATAGTGACCTAGAAGTTAGTATTAAAAAGTTTTTAGATTGTAGACTATTTTGGTGGAGGAAGGACTCTAAGTTCTATGCTAGATGGTAGCCGTAAGTCCTCAGCTACATTATGGGCGTTTTACTACAGGCTTCTAGTTATTGTCTCCATTCTGACCCAAGTGGCCTTCCAGGAGCTGGACCAGTACTTGAAACATAAAGAAAAATTGGGGAGGTTCAGAGTGCTAGTTCCTCTGTCATTTGCAACTTTGAACATTGTATAGAAATAAGACATTGAATCCTTTCTTTTCTAAAGACTGAGTCTAAGAATTGTTTCTCAAGAAACAATTCTTTAGTTGCTAAAGAATTCACAACTTCTTGTCTGCTTATTTTNTTTAAAACTACTAATATAAGTTACCTTTAGTTGCTAAAGAATTCACAACTTCTTGTCTGCTTATTTTCTATATGAANAAGAAACAATTCTTTAGTTGCTAAAGAATTCACAACTTCTTGTCTGCTTATTTTCTATATGAAATCACAGAAATACCTCTCAGAGAACAGAACAGTGTATTTATATTGATCCTAGGGACTAAAGTGGTACCAGCGGATGTTGCTTTCTCTTCACTCCACCTCCATCCCTGCCTAGTAAATATAGGGCCTAGGCCACCCTGGCAGGAATGGCTTGGGTTCTGTGTCAGGATAGTAAGAAGCTAGGAAAATTCCTGGGCAAGTGGAATGGAGAAACTGAGACAAGAAAATCAAACAAGGCCAAACAGTTTGGGAAGCTTGCAGCCAGCTTGTGAATTGCAGGACCCTATCTTCCCCAACCAGGGACACTTGAGAGCAAATGATTTATACCCTCCTCCCTAACCAGAGAATACATAGCTTAAATCACCATGGCCTGGGAAAATAGAGAACAAAGACCCACTTAATGCCATTTGTGCCAGCTAAACCCAAGGACAGATAAAGTCTGGGGAACAAACAATAAAACTCTAAAAGCATTTGGATAGTATCCCATGGGGGATGTTAGACAGGAAAAGTAATTGCTAGGGGAGGAAAGGGGGGGAAGGAGAAAAGAAGAGGTTTATCTTACCCATTAAACAAAGAAGTCAGCCTTCTTAAGACTTGCCAAAGAGATGACCAAATATATGTACAAACATTCTGAGATAAGCCACAACAATGTAAAAGTGGACTTTGAAACCTAGTCTGCTACCCAAGATATCTGGCAGGGGAACTTTGAAACCTATAGGGGGGAAAAGTATAAAACTCTTGAATCCCCCACCAAGAGGTGCCCTTAGACTAGCTGAGTTGCCCGCTTGTGCTTTATGCCAAGTGTATTCTTAATAAATTCCCTTGCTTTTCTTCAACACTGCTCTCTGTCACTGGTCTGAATTCCTTCTCATGAGATTGATAAGATCCAGAGAGAGGAGAGCACCCCCCCCTGACTCGGGGACCTCTCCAGTAACAGTTTCAGCAAAGGTCACCTTTTTCCCTTTATCCCTTCCCCTTCAAGGTCATTGTAGGTAGGTCCAAGTAGGAATCCTATGTCACACCTGATAAACTGACTTTAATGACTCTACCTGTAGCTATCATTGCTGCTTCATGAAGAAATTTGAGATTTAGACAGTGGTTCCGAAACCTTGCTGCACATTGGAATAACCTAGGGCTCTTTTAAAAATATTGATGCCTGACTCCCACCTCCAGATCTTCTAATTTAAGTGATATGGGGTGTGGCCTGGCATTGGGATTTTTAAAAAACTCTTTAGGTGATTTTAATGTGACTCATTCCTTGAGACGAGACCAAAGGCTGAACTGTATTCTTGGAGGAATCTTAGTCATCTCTACTGGGCTTGCTTGGAATTGCTTGTTTAAATGAGTCCTTAGAATAGTTTTCAGGCCTTCTTGGGTTGCTTCAGAGAATTCTTGTGGGCCTTCATCCTGCTCAGCCCTTTGTCAGGCATAAGCTGGCACCTGGCAGTCTTTTTAATTTGGAGAAGTCTCCAGGGTAGCTCCCACACCCACTTTATTCTTTGGTGTCCTTTTGTAATTCCCTAGTGTAGAGTGGGATACTTCTAACTTCTCACCTTTTTGCAATTCCCAAAGACAGACCCTTTTCATATTAAATGTTTTACTTCTTATCACTATAGAAAAACATACCAATACAAGCAAGTTATAAAGCATGTACATTTTTTACTGTAGTGGTCCCTATAAAAGTTTCTGACTTTTCTCTGAAATGGGCTGCTTTAATTTTGTTGAGGGCAGTGGTGAGTGGACACATTCCATATAGAGTGAAATGTAATTTTGACTCCAGGTATATTTATACCTAAAACACTTTACTTCATTTGCCTGGCTGGCATAGCTCAGCGGTTGAGCATCTACCTACCCAGGAGATTGTGGTTAGATTCCTGGTCAGGTTACATGCCTGGGTTGCAGGCTCGATCCCCCATAGGAGGCGTGCAGGAAGCAGCCGATCGGTGACTCTCTCATCATTGATGTTTCTCTCTCTCTCTCTCCCTTCCTCTCTCTGAAATCAATAAAGATATTAAAAAAAAAAAAAGAATTTTATTCCATTAGACATAATTGAAGATTATATAAATGTAATTTTAAAAATTTTAAGTTAAATTTATTGGGGTAGCATTGGTTAATAACATTATATAAGTTTTAGGTGTACAATTCTATAGTACATCATCTGTATATTGCATTGTATGCTCACCACCCAAGGTCTGATTTCCTTCTGTCACCATATGTTTAACCCCCTTTATCTTCTTTAATCTTAGGCTGGGTGCTTCTTAAGATTATCTCAGCTCCAGCCAGTTTGGCTCCGTGGTTAGAGTGTCGACCCGTGGACTGAAGGGTCCCAGGTTCGATTCCAGCCAGGGTCACGTACCTTGATTGTAGGCTCGATCCCTGGCCCCCGTCAGGGCGCGTGCGAGAGGCAGCGAAGTGATGTGTGTCTCTCACACCCATGTTCCCCCCTCCCTCCCTCCCTTCCTCCCTCTCTCTCTCTCTCTGAAAAGCACGGGAAAAATACCCTCAGATGAGCATAAAAAAAGATGATCTCGTTGCTGTTGGCAATATTTTCTAGTGACTTTTCAAATATCGCACACTTATTTATACTGTAGGTTTTTTTAGTTAGGTATTTTGATTTTCCAGTGTTTCACTTTTCCTCATTTCTAACTTTAATTTTTTGCATCTGCTTTTTTTTTAGAGGAGGAGGAGGAATAGCTTTTAGGAATACTGAGGAGGAGGAGGAATAGCTTTTAGGAATACTGAGGTTGGTAATCTGTATTTGAATAGACTGAGATCTCTCATAAATCTTTTATTTTTGTTGTATTTATTTTTTTTATTTTTTAAAATTTATTTATTTATTTATTTATTTATTTTCTATCTTTATTGATTTCAGAGAGAGGAAAGGAGAGGGAGAGAGAGAGGTAGAAACATCAATGATGAGAGGGTCATTGATTGACCCCGCAACCCGGGCATGTGCCCTGACCGGGAATCGAACCCCCGACTGCCTGGGTCCTAGGTCTACGCTCAACTGCTGAGCCATGCCCGGCCGGGCTCTCATAAATTTTATATTCATAACTTTAGCTACAAAGGACAAGAAGTCATTCAAAGAATTTTGTGATTATGGTGGCATTTTTAAAAGATATTTTCAATGAATCAACACTTACTTCTATTTTAAATTTTTGAAGAGCTCTGTAAATGAAACTGATAAAAGACGTGAAAGTTTGCTGAGTGGTGGAGACAGTTGGCAAAGAAGATGATGTAGTTCCAAATCAAAACTATTTATAGAGTCTCTTCTTAAATCTATAATTTCCTATTCTGTTACTGATATAGGTTATGACTAATGGCCTTTTTTCCTTCTCAGTTTTACAGAGGTAATTGAGAGTTGGAGGCATTCTTGCTGAAGATGAATATACTGTATTAGCGGAGGAGGAGGAGGGGGAAGTTTTTCTTTTGCCCTTCAAAAGTCTTGATTGTTTGGTGGCTTGCCTCTAGTTGCTACTTTTCGGCTGAGTCTGTTTGCTTCAGGAGAAATGATTTTTACAATCTCCAGAAAAAACATGTCCCAGAAATTGAGTTTACTGTTGCTTGTCTTTGGACTCATTTGGGGATTGATGTTACTGCACTATACTTTTCAACAACCAAGACATCAAAGCAGTGTCAAGTTACGTGAACAAATTCTAGATTTAAGCAAAAGATATGTTAAAGCTCTGGCAGAGGAAAACAAGAACACAGTGGATGTCCAGAACGGCGCTTCGATGGCAGGATATGGTAAGTTAACTAGAATATTTCTAGTTTCCTCCTCTTCAACCTATCCCCTTTTAAAGACAGTCATGGAAATCTCACTCTTGACTTTGTGCATAGGTCTTTGCAAAGTAGTTTTTTCTTCACTTTTTATTATGAAAGATTCAAGTGTACTGAAAAAGAGAAATAATACGATAAAATCCACCTGTCCATCACTTTGAACAGTTATTAACATTTTCCAATATTTGTTTTGTCTAGTTTTTGAAGAACATTTAAATTACAGAAATTGTGACATTTCACTGCTAGATATTTCCATATGTATATCTTACAAATATATTTTTCTACATAATTACAATACAATTATCATATGTAGTTCACATTTATATTTTCCCGATTATCCAATGTAGACCATCAATTATATAACATCTATTAATTCTTATGAGGCAGCATTTGCCTATATTTTCAGTATTGTTTATTACTAGTCTTCCTTTCACATCCCAGGTTCCTGCTGTGTTTTTCCTACATGCATGCCATATTCTCTCTTGCCTTTAAGACTTAGAGAGAGAGAGAGGAGATAGAACACTTGGTGTTCTCTATTTCAATGTTTTTTTAAAATTATACATATATGTGTTACGATTCTTACAATAAAAAGTTCTTCCAGCCCCCAACAGTCCTAAACTTTCCCATTTTTCAGAGCCTGCCATTTAAAATTATTTAATCTGATTTTTTTGGTGATTACGCCTAACCTGTAAATAACATGCTCTGTGAGCTACTTTTTGATTTCTCAATTATAGGAGTTGTCTGTTAACTGCTACTATGCAAGATAAGGGTTCAGCTTTCTTTCTTACCCAGAATTGCATCCCACCTACCCCAAGCAGCTTTCACACATGTGTGACCTTCTTGTCCTGCCATTTTCCATCACAATTTTGATTAGAACAATATTCAGTGTGTTATTATGACTGTGTGAATGGTATTCATTACTGAGCAATGTAGGACATTATGATATCTTTTCCCTTCCTATACTACTTTATTTTCCCCTCCAAAATTAATAAGCATTGATTTTTGTTTCTTAATCTAGTTTTCTACCCAAACTTCTCCACAGTTGTTTAAATCTTCTCCCAGTATATTCAGATACATTAGGCATTCTTTTACCTTGAAGAAGTCTTTCCCAGTCTATTGACCTGCTCTGGTCTGGACCGTTTCCTCCTAGGCTTGCAGCGGTGAATTGTTCTAGGATATCATTCTAACATCATCCCTCAGATTCCCTTTACTTCTCTTCTGTTGGATCTCCTGTTTCCTAGAATCCTGTGGCTTTTCCTTTATTGGCTATTCCCTATTTTAGGAGAACAGATCCTCTGGTAGGTTCCTCAGAAAGGTATAAGAGAGGTCAGTTTTGAGCTCTTGCATATTTGAAGTGTCCCTGTCCCCATCCCCTCATGCTTAATTGAAAATTTCAGTATGGAGTCCTAGTTTGGAAATAGTTTTCCCTTGGTTTTTAAAGCCTGTGTTCTTGTTTCCCCTTCTTGGCTTCCCATGCTCTTTTTGAGACTAATGCTGTTCTAGTTCTTCACCTTTATATGTGACTTATGTTTTTGGAAGCTTGTGAGATCTTTGTCTCATACTGTTCTAAAATTTCTCAATGCTTTGCCCAGGCATAGATTTTTTTCATAAATGTCCTGGGGCCTCAGTGGATACTTTATTTTAAAAAATATTTTATTGATTTCAGAGAGAGGAAGGGAGAGGGAGAGAGAGAGATAGAAATATCAATGATGAGAGTCACTGATTGGCTGCTTCCTGCATGCCCCCCCTTACTGGGGATCGAGCCTGCAACCCAGACATGTGCCCTGACCAGGAATCGAACTGCTATCTCATGGATCATAGGTCGATGCTCAACTGCTGGGCTCAGTGGGTGTTTTATTTTATTTATTATTATTTTAAATATATGTTTTTATTGATTTCAGAGAGAGGAAGGGAGAGGGGGAGAGAGATAAAAACATCAGTGATGACAGAGTCATTGATCAGCTGCCTCCTGCATGTCCCCCTACTAGGGATCGAGCCTGCAACCTGGGCACGTGCCCTGACTGGGAATTGAACCACGATCTCCTGGATCCTAAGTCGATGCTCAACCACTGAGCCATGCCTGGCCAGGCCTCAGTGGGTACTTTAAATCCTGAAAGTTATGTCCTTTAGTTCTGGGGTATTTTTTCTAAATTATTCATTTGATTTCTCCCTCTCCATTTTGCTCATTCTTTATGGCATTCTGTTATTCAGCATTTGGCATCCAATCTCTTTGTTTTTTTGCTTTATGTTTTGAGATATTTCCTCAGTTTTATTTTCAACTCTTTATAGAGTTTTAAATTTTTTTCTCGTATTTTTAGTGTTTAAGAGCTCTTTGTTATTTCTCTAAGGTTATCACTGATAGCTTTTCTTACATGTTCTTATATTCCAAATATGTTTGGTGGTCCTTAGCCTCTTGAGGTTTTATGAAAGAGTGAGACACTGAAAGCTTAATAGGAAGTTTTGAGTTGTTGGGTGGCCTGCACTATAGGGTGACCTGGCTGGGACATTTTCTTGGGAGTGTTCTTAATATTTGCAGTGACTTCTGATATCAGCCATCTGGAGTAGGCCCACATTTCATGGGTTAAGGGCATAATCCTTCACAATTCTGCCCTCGCTCGAGACACCAGTCGCAAGTTTGGGTGTCCCCAGGTCACCCCCACTTCTGAGCAGCTGGCTCAATATTTGAGGGTTCCCACTACCCTCTTATGTTTGATAATTCAGTAGATCAGCTCACAGAACTCACTGGAAGCACTATACTTACAGTTTTATTATAGCAAAGAGAAAATCAGAATCAGTCAAAGGGAGAGATGCGTAGGGAAGGTCTGAGAAAGTTTCAAATGTAAAATTTCTGCTCTCTCCTCCCCATGGATCAGGACACATTATCCTGGCACATCAGTGTGTAACAAACAATATTAAGAATATTGGCAACTAGGGAAGCTCATCTGAACTTTGATGTCCAAAGTTTTTAATTGGGTTTTCATTTATGATTGATTGAATCATTGGCCATATGGTTGAACTCAATTTCCAGCCCTTCTCCCCAACACTGACAGAAAAGCCCTAACCTTTTAATCACATGGTTGGTCTTCCCAGCATGGATAGCCCTTCTCATCTTCATCATCTCATTAGCACAAACCATTGAGGGGCCTGCTCTGAGACACCTTATTAATATAAACTATCAGGTGTTGTCCTAGGGACGCATCATGAGTAACAACAACACTCTTATCACTCAGGAAATCCCAAACGTTTGTTTAGAGGCTACCTCCTAGGAATCTGTTATAAAGGCCAGCTAATTCTTTATTATACAATATCAGTGTCTTTCTTTGGGGTATCCCAAATCTCAGTGTATTTAGGTTTTTCCTCTTGAGCTGGTCAGATTCCCTAGAGAAAGAGTATAGGTCTCCCACATGTTCTGGGATTTGAGGGAGAGGAAGAGGCTGGGGAGGGAGGGTAGGAGCCTCAGCACGTACTGTGTAAACTTTCACTACTCTCCCAGTGTTCAGTGTGGTCCCCAGGTCCCCAACTACTATACTAGCTTCAGAAAATACATCTGAGATTTTCTGCAATGGGGAGGGGCTATTGCCCAGTTTTGGAGTGGTATAAGGAATTTAAGAATCAAATTACTGTATAAATTTTCATTCATTTCTTCTGTTTTTAGTCCCTTCTTTACCTGTTTTCGTTGGTACTTGGTGTAACAATTCCTGGGCCTTTTAAGGGTGAGGTTCTGAGGAGAAAATTGAATTGGTTCTTGGTGTTTTTTCTCCTTTAAGATCCAACTTTTGCAGGTCTGCTAAGTCAATTAGCGCTCATCTGCTTTTCAGCTTCTGGGATTTTGTTGCTATTGTCTCCTCTTTTACCTTTGGCCTCATGGATTTAGGAAATAAAAAAGAAAGAGAGAAGGAAAGCACCTTTGTTGTTGTGGTGGTGTGTTCAGAGTGAGTTTTTGAGTTCAGCACCTTTACCTGGGGATGCCCTGGACCCTGCGTTTTTTCTCCTCCCTCATAGGATGGTTTTATGAAGTGATGAGAATCAGGTGTAGGTGACTAGACAGGAAGGAGTTGGTAGAAACTGACTGGCGGACTTGTGGCCGACATGGGTGCGGAAATTGGTCAGCGTAACCCATTGATAAGGAGGAAGATGATGCTGTTACGAAAGGACAATCTAGCGACCCTTGGGGTAGAAATATTCTGCATCTTGACTGCATCAATGTCAATATTCTGGTTGTGATGTTGTGTATAGTTTTGCAAGATGGTAGTAGTGGGGGAAACTGGGGAAAGGGTATAGGAATTTCTGATTTATTACTTCTCGCAATTGTATGTCAATCTGTAATTATCTCAAAATTATTTACCAACTTAAAACCCTAAACTAAACCTATAAAATGAGTACTTCTTATATTCTAAGTATGCTAAAGGAAAGTCATTCTCAGAATTCCTATTAGAAGTAATTTTGATGTGGATATTTAAAACATTTAGCTTATTCATGATTTACGTGATTTAGTCAAATCCATTTTCTAACTTTCTTCTCTCACTTAAAACAAATTAGGCTTATTGTTCCTAGGCATTTAATTTGTATTTAAAGTTGATGGGAACATATATTGATTCACTTACGAGATCTAAACAATGTGCCTTGCAATCTTAAGTAGGGAAGTAATAAAATATTTGTTGAATAACATAATTTATTCAGTACTCAGTGGGAGAAGGCAGCTATATTGAAGATGTAAGAGTAAGCAGTGTACTTTTAATTATGGAGTTTATGAGATTTTTGAAAGCACTTTTACCTAACACTGCTCTTTTGCCCTGATAGTTAAGTAGCCTCATTTTTTAAGGAAGCATTCTTATTTACTACATACTACTATAAAGTTTTATAGTGGGTAATTCACTTTGATAATCAGAAGGCAACTTCTAAGTTTTCTTTCTTGCATCATTTTAAGCTGACGTCAGTGGTGGTAAAATATCAATTGGAATTTGAAAAATAATAAGGAAAAGTTTTTGACTTACACAGTGCATCAAACACTTGTTTTATTTTCATTAGTCGTTTTGCATCTTACTAAAATTTTGTTCCTTTTTTGTGTACATACATGGTTATCCTTATATCTGCCTCTTCTGTACAACAGATTTGAGGCAGCTCATATTAAGAATACAAACAACAGAACCTACTGAGGTAAATAAGAGATAAATCAAGATACAGACATATAAGTTGGGCAAGTCCTCAAAGGCATGTGTGCTTCCTATTGCCTGGTTGCCCTCATATCTATTCCTTACCCTTTCTCTGTTCTGCTTTGCCTGTCAAGGGAAAGTGATTCCAGTAGTGAGTGAATGTAGTAGGTGGCGTTTTGCAAGTTCCCACACCAGCTAACTTCTGCCTGGCTTCAGCCAATGGGAGGCCCTGGCACAGGTTTGGACAATAAGAGGAAGGAAAAGGCTAGGGTATTTTTTCTCTCTCTCTCTGTCTCAGGTGGTATCTCCTGCGTAGTTCTAGCTTCTGCCAGAGGGTGTTTTCCACTAGTGTCCTTGGACTTGGGCTCTGGTAACTCACTGCTTTCTTCCTATGTTCCATAGGCCTTGGGATGTGATTCACAGTCTCTGATTATGTTTAGTATGTTAGAACCTTTTTACATTCAGTATCTTTAGTATATTTAATAGCATTATACCCTCCTTTTGACTTTTGTGTACAGTGAAATAACTGGGACAGGTACTGTTTTGATAGTATCTGTGTTCTTATGTGCCTTTGTAATTTTTGCATTTCTTTTCCTGTTCTTCCCCCCCCCCCTTAAGCTATTTGATTTCTTCTCTCAGAAAAGGAAGCTTAAAACAGAAATAGAGCAACCTTAAAGGGTTTTATTTTCTAAATATGATCCTCACATCATTCTCTACCTACTAAACACATGAAGTGGACATTCAGCAGATATCCTTTTCAAACATTTGTTATCTACTGTGTGATGAAGCATCAAGCTGGATGAGCTGGGAGTAAAAGGATGGATATGATATGGTCTCCATCCTCTTTCAAATTGTTCGTAGGGGTTCTGAACAGAGAGGGGCCCATGATAGGGATAGAGTTTTTTCTGCTAGCACCTTCAGTGATAGGGCCTTATGGGGAAGTACTGAGGATTCCCATATGATTATAAACATATAACTTGCACAAATATACAGTCCCAAAAATGTAAACAAAATTGTATTGTGCATCTAGAGAAAAGGGAAGTTTTGGTGTATTTAAAAGAATCCCAAGTTCAGGAAACATTAGTATGTTCTGGTCTTTCAGTTAACTGATTTTATAGCATGGGGCAAGGTAGTAAAAATAATCTCTTGGTATTTTGTAATATTTTATTAAAACAATTGATTTTAGAAAATGTGAAAGGTAATATTTAATTATAATTTAGGATATTGTTAAAGGAAAATTATCATTTAGTTTCTCATTAATCCCAATTTTTCCTTTAATCGCTATTTTTAACCCTAACCCTAATCAATGATTAGACTATACCTTTATAATTCATGTCACACATCAGCTTGGTGTCAAACTTCCCAGGGCTTTAGCTTCATTTTATTTTAAAAAGCTGTTAAACTTCCTACCCCTTTTCTAGCTAGCCTTCTCTGGCCTAGATTACTACTTCTTCAAATATGATACAGGAGGTGACTTCCAGGGGAAAACTGAAACCTAATAGTTATCTTTTAGTCTTGTTGCTGAAGAATTTAAAAAATATTTAATTTTCTTCTATTTACCAAATATACCAAATACTGTTATAACTCTGGAGTGAAAGGCCTTAATAAACAAAGTCGTCTTTCCCAAGCTTTTATTTTGAAACATTTCAATCTACAGAAGATTAGGGGTAATTGTATGGTAAACATCATATGTCTTTCATGTAGACTCACCATTTGCTAAAAAGTTTTTTACATTTGCTTTTATCTTTCCTTCTCTATACAAATATATATGCTTATGCTTTTTAAGGGTTACATTTGTGAAAGAAGTTGTATATGTCATGACATTTCATCCCTAAATACTTTTTGTCAAAGGATTTTTCTTGTGCTTTTTAAAATTTTACATTCGTACTAAACTAGGATCTAAACATGTCATGATTAATGATGGATGCCAAACGAAGTAGGTGGGTTCCTTACAAGGGACTAATTTTTGAACTAGACTTTAAATCTGTTTTATTGCACTGGAAAAGTGAGAGTTTCTCCCATATTTATAACTCTGAAATTCCTTTAAGAAGCTCTGATGCTAATGATTAAAATAATTAGGCCTTTTCTATTCGTGGTATGAACACTTTCTCTTTAGTATATTTTCTTTCAGATGACTCAGTAATTGTTCACTTTTCCCTCAAACTATGAAAACACAAATATTAACTACTCTGTCAATGTTTAATATGGTTTATTTTGATTCTCCCCCCCCCAGCGGATCTAAAAAGAACAATTGCTGTCCTTTTGGATGACATTTTACAACGGTTGGTGAAACTAGAGAATAAAGTTGACTATATTGTTGTGAACGGCTCAGCAACCAACGCTACCAATGGTACTAGTGGGAATCTGGTGCCAGTAACCACGAACAAAAGGATTAACACATCAGGCAGCGTTAGATAGCAGTTAAAGATCACCTGGTACTGCTGCATCCACCATGGATTATATCCCAGGGTAGAAAAGCTTTTAAATTGCTGGCTAGGGTAGAATAATACTTTACAAGTCAAGCTCTGCATTTTCAAGGAACATGCTGGATTCATGGAACTCTAATTCTGTACATAGATTTTAAAAGTTATTAGCCTGCTTTCAGGCAAGCTTCTTCAATGCGGAACTATATCCTTAAGGGGAATTTGGTAACATGGTTGATGTGGTATGCAGGTAGGTGATCTTTGTGTAAACCTTTTGTTTTTGAGATCAAGCTGAAATAAAAAACACTGAGAGACATGGGTTAACTTTCTATAAAATATTTATTTAAATATGTAACATGTTTTTCACACAAGTGAAGAATATTGGTATTGAATCATTCTGTCATTTGTTCTCAGTATATATAACTGTTAGACTAATACTGTTAGAAAGTATGCTTACTTCCAGTACTATATTTTGTTACTCAGATTATGAGCAGAGAAAGGACGTATAATATTGAAAATAATGTTTTGAACCATGACCCAAAGAATGTCTTCATTTGCACTTTCCTTCAGAATAACTGGAGGTTAACTATTGTATATTTTAAAAATTACATTTGTATGAGTATAATCTTGAAATGGGTAGTAGCCACTGTCTGTAACCTATTCTAAACATTGGGACAATTAAATAACATTAAGATAGTAATCTCTAATCTCATAGGTAACATTTTCTTACATGTATTCTGAAGAATAAAATATATTTTTATGATGAGATTAAAAATAAGTATTCGTGATTGTTCACAGACATGAATGTTAATTTAAAAGTTTAACCCTTTGAGTGTCTGTGCTGTCAGGGAAGCACATTATTTCCATATCTGGATAATTTTTGTCTTTATGTTGGCAGGGGAAGGGAGATGGAGATATTTGTGAGACTGGTGCTCTCAAGGACTTTAGCCAGATGTATAAAGGTATTCGTGCTGCATTAAATTGCTTGGAAAATGTTAACATATCATATAAGAGTATCCTGCTTTATGAAATTTTGGATTTGTATAACAGATACATTAGATGTTTGTTTTATGTAATGACCACTTAATTAAAAACATTTAAGATATAATTTAAATTATGAAGATTGACTATCTTTTCAGGCAAACAGTTAATGTATATAGCATAAGAGATCCTAATCTTGGGTAATTCTAGTATAGAGCAAAGGACACCTTTATTTAAATGTCCCTTGTAGCCAACTTAATTGCCATATGGTGCCCCATATTTCATAGTATTTATTCTCTATAATAACTGCTTATGTGCAGCTAGCGTCTAGGTTTAGACTATATTGAATTTAGTTTTGGATATTCATTATTACAATATGCTACCACACATAGTAGCAATAATTACAATGTTTTATTAAACTAAGTATGAGAAAATGTTATTTCATGAAAGGTAGATTTCCAGATTTCCTCTGTAATCTATCCTTATGTGAAGAAATTAATTTATACCATTGCTAGATGAAGTTTGGAATAATTGTTCAGTCTTTCTTATTAGATGTGTACATTTTGTTGTTGTTGTTTTCAGGGATGAAATAAAATATATTATTTGTACTTGCAAAGAGTTATAAGTTTTTTTCTTTTAATGGTGGTTGTGCATTTAATAAATGGTTAATGATTAAAAGGAATCTTGGAAAAATTTGGGTTTTGTTCCATTAACTCCAGATAACTTTTCCAAAAGAGGAAAATGGAAGGGTCCTGTTAGTTGTAAGACCGTAGGCAAGTTGGCCTGAAAGCCCCTGGGATCATTCCTCCAATCTCTGTGCAGGGACCAATGCAGACTGGCATTAGGCTGTGGGTAGCTTGGTTGCTGATTGGTTGTGGTGAGCATGAGCTGATTACTGGTGACCAAGAGACTGGCAAATGTCAATGATCGGCATAATCATTAACCAGAAATGTTTCAATGATGGGTCTGATAAAAAGAAGCTATACTGTATCCACATTGCTATTGGTCAGAAGAGATCCACTGTTGCCCAGTTGGTGAAGGTACAGATGCAGATGCTGTGAAGTACACCATTGTGGTTTCAGCTACCGCTTCTGATGCTGCCCCACATCAGTACCTGTCTCCTTATTCTGACTGTTCTATGGGAGAATATTTTAGGGACAATGGCCAACTTGTTTTGATCTTCTATGACAAGTTATCCAAACAGGCTCATCATCAGATGCTCCGCAGACCCCATCTGCTGCTTGGGAGGCCCAGCCTGGTGATGTGTGCTACTCACACTCCCATCTGCTGGAGAGAACAGCCAAAATGAACGATGCTTTTGGTGGTGGCTCTTTGGCTGCTTTACCAGGCCTGGAAACACAAGCTGTGTCTGCTTACATTCCAACAAATATCTTTTCTACCACTGATAGATGAATCTTCTTGGAAACAGAATTGTTCTACAAGGTATCTGTTGCCTGCCATTGATGTTGGTCCGTCTCTGTCCTGTGTGAGATCTGTTGCCCAAACCAAGGCCATAAAGCAGGTAGCAGGTACCATGCAGCTGGAATTGGCTCCTTATCCTGAGGTGGCTGCTTTTGCCCAATTTTGTGCCTACCTTCATGCTGCCGCTCAATAACTCTTGAGTTGTGGTGTGCATCCGAATTGCTGAAGCAAGGACAGTATTCTCCTGTGGCTATTGAAGAAGTAGCTCTTACTGATCCTGGTGTAAAAAGAGGCATCTTGATAAACTGGAGCTGTTTCTGTTTAATTTTTTATTTTTTTGCTGGAGTATTTAAAAGTAAATTTTAAATAGCATATTTTATTCTAACTACTTCATTATACTTTAAGAGACAAAAAAAATCTTATATAACCACAAAGCCATTCTTACATCTAAAAAAATGAAATAACCATTTCTTAAGTTTTAATATGTTAAAATATAAACTATTAAAATTTCCCCAGTTGTCTTAAAAAATATCTTTTTACAATTATCTTTTCAAATCAGAATCCAAACAAGGTCCACATACTGAATTTGATTCTTACAGCCTCTAAGATCTCTTCATCTGGAGGAGGGCTCCATTTCCCCTCCCTTACACCATTTTCTTTTTCAAGAAACCTGGTCACTAGTCCTGTAGATTGTACCAGTTGCGTCCTTGTGGTGTTTAATTTGCTTCTCTATCCTCTGTATTTCTTGTAGTCTAAAAGTTAGCTGTGAAGACAAATTCTACTTCACATTTTTGACAAGACTGTGCTATAGGTGATGTTATAGACTTCATATTATTTCATTACCTCAAGCCCCACATAGAGTCAGGCTGCCTCACTTTTAGTAGTGTTTAAATTGTTCAGGCAGTGGCAGCCTGGTTCCTGCATCTCCCACTTAGTGATTTTAGTATCTTGTGATTACCATTATCTGAATCATTTTGAAATAATTAGGGGTTGCAAGATGGTGGCTTTCTAATTTGATCATTCCTTCCACGTTTATTAGCTAGAATTCTTCTGTAGAGAAGAATTTTCTTATACCCGTTAGGCTTTTTTGGTTACCCTGAAATACCGTTCATACTGGAAAGGCAGGAAAAATCTTTATTTCCTTTAATTATGCAATTTTAGAGTAGTGTGTTGGTTACCTAGCAACCTCCGTGATGCCCATAGAATACCTTTTTTCTTTTTTTTGAATGTCACTATGAACTAATGGCTTTACACATTGAATGTGAATGTGTTTCTGTCAGTTGCAGTTGTTTGATGCTCAAATTACTCTATTTTGGGGGGCAGGGGGAGCTTTCTGTATTCATTTGATATGGCAATACTGGCTTTTGATAGTTTCCTTGCTTTCTGGCATAATAAGATGTCCTAAGCTCAACTGGTACATATCCTGGAATTGGCTGTTTCTGGATTAGAGTTTTTATTGTTAAGTATTTTATTCTATTATCATTATTGGGTATTGGAGGAGCAAACAGTTTTCTTGTGTTTTACTTATCAACTGGCAAACCATTAAAGAGTGAATGAATGACTGATAGACTAGACTGAAGAGGCCCCAGACTTCAAGCTGGATGCAAAGCTGCCTGAAACTTTAGGGCTGCCTTCCATAGGGGTCTGATGAATACATTCAATGTAAAATGCCTGTATTGGAAGAAGGGCATGCATTGGCATTCAGCAGTTCAACCCTGTGGATTGACCTCTCTCCTTGACCACCTCCATCATAGTTAGAGCCTGGACAACCGAAGTACTTGACGTGCTTTCCCAGTCTCTCTTCTACAACTAGGGGTGGCCCTGTGACTTAGTTCTGGCCAATGACACATTGTGAAAATCTTTTGGAGGGCATGCTTGTAGAAAAATTCCTTTTTACTTGATAAAAGGAATAGCTGATTTTGTGTTTTCTTCTTTCTTCCTTGATTTGGATATGATTTCTGGAGCTCTGGCTACCATGGAAAAATGCCCCGAAACAATGTCAACAGCAGCATCTCTCCACACTTTTTAAAAGTAGTCTACATTTAATAGAGCCTCTGTTAATTGGATTATTGTGTTATTTGCAGAAGAAAGCATTCCTGACTTACACATCACTGCAAAATGGTGGTAATACCTATCTCGTTTTGTGAGGGCTAAATACAGGGTGGGGCAAAGGTAGGTTTACAGTTGTGAGTACGTGAAAGTTTACTCTTGCATTATTATTTATTTATTATTGTATTTTCCATGTGAACAGCTGTAAACCTACTTTTGCCCCATCCTGTATATAAAATATCTAACACGTGCCTAGGCAATTTTCATGTCCCTCTGTCTATATTACTTCCTAGATTAATTTAGCTACCTTTTGGGAGGAAACGATTGTTCCGTTACACATGTTTTATTAAAGCAGAAAAAAACACATACAATATCCTAATTAGCAAAGGTGCCAGTTTTATACAAGGTTAGGATAATGTTTTGTAGTTTGTTCCATAGTTCTGTTTGTCGTGCCTAATATTTTTGTTGAGTTGTTTGTTCAGAAGAATTTACTTCTCCAGCATCTTCCTGGAAGAGTCCAAAATTGAGCTAAGCCTTTTTAAATCATTTCCCTCTAGATTCATTAAATTGTAATTGCCTACAGAGACAATTCTGTAAGCTCACAGAGCCTGGCAATTTTTGTTATTATCTTTGTTACTTTAACTGCTGCCTAAAATCAGGGCTACGTGCTCATAAAGAGATAAAACTAGCAGCAGCAGCCCACAAGGTGGAGAGATCAGGGCTCCTTCCCCTAAAACCTCTCTATAAAATGCAAGTGTGCCTGGGAAGCTTTGAAGTTTGTTGGCTAAGGTTGAGCTACCACATTACACCTTGGTGGAGAATACAGTTGATCCTTGAACAACACGAATTTGAACTGCGGGTGTCCACTCATATGTGTTTTTTAATTCAATAAGTAGTGCAGTTCTATAAATGTATTTTTTTTATGATTTTCTTAACACTTTTTTTAGCTTGTTGCAAGAATACAGTATATAATACACATAACATACAAAATATGTATTGACTGTTTATGTTATTGGTAAGGCTTTCTGTCAAAAGTTCTATGTGGATTTTTGACTGGGGTGTCAGCACTCCTAACCTCTGCATTGTTCAAGGGTCAACTATAATTAACAAAAAGTAATGAGCATGTCAAAATGCAAATAGGAGTCCTATCTGAGCAGGAGAACCAACTTTATAACGGGAAAAAGGGCACTAAAAAGAAGGGGGGGGCACCTAAACAATTTGATTGCATACCAGTTTGCTGTTGGACCTGAAATATTCAGGAAATACCTTTAAAATAAGGTATTGTAGTTCAACGAATTATTTTTCTTTTTTGCGGATTCTCCTGCCCAGAGAATTTATAGAGATCAAGCTGATCTTTAGGGAGCCTCAGAATTTAATGACCCCTGAGAAGTGATGAATTTCTATCCCCTTTCCAGGTTTGCTAGCCCAAATTGTGGCCAAATTACCAATCGCATGGTAATTCAGCTTTTTTTTTTTTTTTAAAGTATCTTTATTGATTTCAGAGAGAGGAAGGGAGAGGGAGAGATGGAAATATCAATGATGAGAGAGTCATTGATCGGCTGCCTCCTGCACACCCCCTACTGGGGATCGAGCCGGCAACCCCGGCATGTGCCCTGACCAGGAATCGAACCTCGATCTGCTGGATCCTAAGTCGATGCTCAACCGCTGAGCCACGCGGGCCGGACTAATTCAACTTTGAAAAGGATTTTGTGTTGAATTTTTCCAAAGGTTTTAAAAACATTTTAAATTGTTTCTACCTCTTCCTGCTTAAACCCGCAATTCGCTTTCTTCAAAGAACATGTAGCTTTAGTGACACCGAAACTGGAAGGAGACGCCCAAGGCTACTGATTTTACATCCCTGCTTTTTAAACGCCTGTTTCGAAGACAAAGCTGGAGATTATGGGGAGGTAGGCCGTATCCAGAACCTTCTCAAAACTGGGGAAAAGCGCTGTCCAAAGAAATAAACAATGTTCAGTGCGTCCATTATACGCAAGGAATTGCACTCCCTTGTCACCTGTCACTTTACAGGGAATCCAGCCGGAGGAGGGAAAGAGATCCGCGGGGTTTGCGGAGGGCGGCGAATAGCATCCCACGTGGGGCGTGGCCGTGCCTGCAGACAGCAGGTTTCTCGGGCCCGCGTGGGCGGCCCGGCGAGGTCACATGGGCTGTGGGCCGGACCAATAGGGAGG